ACGTCCAACTGTTCTGCTCCGAACTGGGCTAATGAAGATGGCCATACACCATACAGTGTGTTATGAGGGAAATTTTGCCCCGACAGTGGCACTACGGCCTACTCTTATATCGAATTCCAACTGTCAAGGGATCTTTTACATGCATGCCAATGTGTACACAGGACCTCGTTTTTTTTTATCCCATCTGAACAACTAGACAGCTGTCCTTGTCAGGCTCTCCGTCCTGCATCACTGACAAGGGGAAACCACGCCGGAAATCTGGATGAACTTTCTCGGCCAATGCAGGGATCGAACACCCGACCTCCAGGCTAGCGAGCCAGGGTCTTACCCATTTTAATGACTAGACAGCTGTCTTGTCAGGCCCTTAATTGTTAGTATCATGACATTAAACTGACATTTGTTTTACGTTTTACAACTAATATCAGGTTTATGTTAGAAAACTAACGTTAGATTTATGTTAGAAAACTAAAGTTAGATTTATGTTATAAAATTAACATTAGATTTACGTTAGAAAACTAACGTTAAATTAACGGTTAAAATTATGACATAAAACTAACATTACATTAACGTTAGAAAACTAACATTATATTAACGTTAGAAAACTAACGTTAGATTTACGTCAGAAAACTAACGTTAGATTTACGTCAGAAAACTAACGTTAGATTTACGTCAGAAAACTAACGTTAGATTTACGTCAGAAAACTAACCATAAACTAACGGTTAGAAACCTGATGTAAAATTTACGTTAGATTAACGTTAGAATTATAACCAATAATACATATATAATTATTATGTCTGAATTCCGACTATATATCAATTGTTAGAATGTGCACACACTTGTAATGTTATTTAATCAAGAAGTATTCAAAGGGAAAAAAATTGGTTAGTAATCCGTCATAAAGTTTACGTTACATTTACGTCATTTTCTGACGTAAAAGTTACCATAACCATTATGACGTAAAAGTAACGTAAATTTAACCAAAGAATTTTACCATTATTGGACGCTAACCAAAATCTAACCATAATGACGTAAACTTTACGTAAATCTAACCATGAATGTTAACTGGGTAAAAGACGGGGCCCGTTTAAGACAGACTTGTTTGTTTACATTACGTCACAACCACATGACGAAGGATCCATGCACAGCACAAATCGTTTGCAACAAAGCCGGAGATGGCGAAGCAAACAAATTAATAATTTAATAGTTATTTAGAACCTATCAATAAGTTTCGTGGTCGTTCTTAACTGAAGAACATATTTTGAAAAAGATACGTATCAATATAAATATCGCCAGAACGTATCGATACATACTGGTGTATCGATATATCGACACAGCCCTAGTTCATACTCCGGCAAATTTTCGTGATGACTGAATAATATATTACGTGCATAACTAACTCCCCGACCGATTAGGCATCGAAACTTCATTGTATAACCTATACATATTGACATTCGGTTGATATACCATTCGGTAAACTAAGTAATGCACGAGTTATAGCATGAATAATATTGACGCCCTGTTGATAAATCATTCGGTATACTATATTAATTAATGTAGGAGTGTGGTATAAACAGTTATAGGTGGACAGCGACCAACGACAAAGTGACAAACAAGGCAACTAAATTAGGGGGTAGTTTTCGTGCAATTCAAATTTTTTGAGAGGGGGGAAGGGTGGGAAACAAACTTAAAGATACATTATGGGAGATTTTAATAGAGAGTTGGTCATTCTTGCTATAACAGTTCAAAAATAGATGATAAAAAAAGAATATATTGAAAATTTCAGTCAAATTACATTATTCTGACCAAAGTTATCACCATTGTAATTTTTGACTAGAAATAGGAGTCAAATCCCTCTTCACCGTCTACGAGAATGCAGGCCGTTTGATTGACAGGCGTTAACTCCACCTACATAATCTCGATTATCAAGTAACGTTTTCAATTCGTATCACATTTATTTTTACTACAAATTAAAAATAGGACTTTTATTATATAGATAAGAAACGAAAGTTTTAAAGGAATGGACCAAATCAATGAGGCATAATTATAGCCGACGTCTTCAATCTTGTTAGCCTGCGTGTACTCCCGAAGCAGACAAATTGAAATAGGAAACATTGATCCAATGGGCTGCAATTCAACTGGGGTGATGTTAGCTGCGATGTTTATCAATTTCCATAATTTTTCTGTAAACGCAAGTGACAAAAGAGCGTATAATACCGACATCCAAACTCTCATTTTAACCACAAATAAACATAATATCAAGATCGTATATATCGAACTTTCAATCAAATTGACTGACATATGCGGCCTCGCTCAACAGCGGCCTCGCTTCGTACACTCTATCATTCAGCCTCGATCTAAAATTTCCCGGAGTATGACGCCAACGTAACGGTTAATCTCAGCTTACAACGCCATTTAAAAATTTAATCAAAAAATGAAATCCTGTTTAAATCCAAACGAATCCAAGCCATCCGTGGGTCTACAGAGTTGATTTTGTGCTTGTTGTGTAAATAAAGATCTAATTTATAATTTCTATGACATCTGAAGCCTAAATAAAGACTTGCAATAATCAGATTTAGCTCTTGCATAATGTATGTTTAACAAACTTTTGATTCATGAATTACTTTCAGTATATCTTAGTTTAAATATAAGCTATCATCAAATCACATTATCATCTTAAACGTCCTACTGTGACTATGCTTCGTCACGGATCTATAAAACCATTAGATGTGACATCATCCTGTGTTCGTCTCCGTGGGACTTCCACGTTGCCGTGTTATTATAATTATATGGGGGATCACGGTGGCTAAGTGGGTAAGACGCTGGCTCGCTAGCCTGGAGGTCGGGTGTTCGATCCCTGCATTGGCCGAGAAAGTTCATCCAGATTTCTCCTTCTCAGTGATGGGACGAAAAACTGAGGTCCCGTGTATACATCGGCGTGCACGTAAAAGATCCCTTGATAGTTGGAATTCAATAGTGCCGCTGTCCGGGCAAAAATTCCCCCATAGCACACTGCATGGCGTATGCCCGTCTTCATCAGCCCAGTTCGGAGCAGAACAGTAGGACGTTAAACTCCATTTCATTTCATTTGATTTATTATAATTATGTTTATATAACTTTATAACATTCATAATACAACGGTTATATACAGGAAACTGAACACACAACTATGACATTAAAAAAAATAAGCTAAATATAAGTTCCCTATCTCTTAGCCTGTGTTTTGTATCGCTACGCTCTCTTTTCTAAGTCTTTGTGGTGATCTTATCCGGTCTCTTAAGCCGAGGCGACTAAAGGGAGGCCCCTCTAGGAACACTGTTGCCTCTAAGCCGAGGCGGCTATACGTCCCACTAGTAACGCCAATGATGTCTGTAACCCGGCCGCTAAGCCGAGTCGGCGCTACGTTCCTCTAAGAACGACAGTGATGTCTGAAGTAAATTTAACCACGCCCTTTAATTTATATAAAACGTTTGGCTACGTTGGCTATTAGGGCGGGGCAATTACCATTTTTGGGTGTTTCAGTTGGGCACCCATTTTCATCAACATTGCTTATTTAATTGGACTAAGCTCTGTACGAGATGACTTGACACCATTAACCTACTTTTAGAAATTGATGATGGCAGGAACTGTCAGTATGGTTGTCTAAGAAAGTTGTAGATTAATGCAAGTGCTATCCATTCTTTCTATAATAGTTCGAAAATAGATAATGTAAAATGAATAATTTGAAAATTTCATTCAAATTACTCTATTGCGAGTAAAGAGATTAGCCTTTGAAGGTTTGACAAGACGTGTGCAATAATTTCAACCACAGTACTGGTTGTTCGAAGCCAAGTCTCGCTCCACCATTTTTAGCTTAAATTAAAATATGGCCGAACTGTTATAATCTATTTAATATCGAAGAAATCTGATGCCATCGAGAGTTGATTATGGCCTGGATAAGTTAATTAATGCCTAATTAATAATTTAGAAAACATTTCAGGCGTACAGAAAGACATGCAATAGGCAGATTCGGCTCTTGCATAATGTATGTTTACACAGAGCACCTTTCATAGAACTAAAATAAACCCTATTGTATTACGCTACATCCCGTTTTGATTTTTAAATAACAGCACTTGATCATTGTATATATGTTTGTCGTCAGGCTATGTACCTTTTAGTATGGTTGTTGCCGCCACTCGTAGATTGTTACAGAGGCTATCAAGAAGCTACGTGATAACAAGGTTTATTTTCTTCTCAATACTTGACTTCGTTTATTAATGACATAAATTATTGTACCCAGGCCCGTAGCCAGCTTGCTAGCTTCGGAGGGGCAGTGAAGTTTTTAGGGGGGGGGGGGCAGTCTACAGTAAGTATTTTAGAGCTATGATCGGCATTTTTTTTTTTCGGGGCGGCTACGGGCCTGATTGTACCATATCTTCATTAGCCTGTTTCTACAAAATATATATGAACAATATACAAATATCATAAAATATCAACTCCACTTTACATCTTAACTGACAAAACGCTTAAACGTATCAAAAAATGAATAATTAGTCAATATGGACGGTTTACATCTACTTTTACTTTCGGCGTTAAATCCGATCCAGATTAACGTAATATTACAATAGAATAATTTAGGCAGAATTTGACGTGATTTTGTTTAGATGCAACACTGAAACAATTAAGAGATGACAGTCAGCTAAACTAATGCAGAATAACGACAATGAACTGGTAAATAACTTACATACACGTTGACCGTTCCTTGTCTTTGTAAATCTTATAAATCTTGTATCTTATCTTAATAAATTAAAATCGTAACATTGACAAAAATGGCGGGTCGCACGTGAAAATCTTCTCCCAGATTAACCGGACACTTTGTCATAAAACGACTACTTGACTTGACATCTGTGACTAATACAAAACAGTAGTAGTTACCTCCCATTAATATTAAATAGATTTCGGAATCTAAAATCGTTTATCGATTGGCATCTTGGTCACTAATCAAATAGCAATGTATGCGTATTATATGCAGTATAGAATGTTTATTGTTGTTACCAATCAATTGCCATCATCTGACTAAAATTATATATAGACATACACACTCATCGCCATTGGATCTTGCACAAGAACACATTGGTAAGACATCTTTTGTTTCTACTCGACTCAATGTTTCTATTACTACTAATAATCTTCCTTTGATCATGGTTGAAAACAACTAATTGATTTAAATACTGAAAGATATACAAACAAATTATATACCATCGGAATACATTTACTGTTGCACATGTAGACTCATGTATTGTAATAAACATTGAACTGGCCGAAAATAGAGATGAAAGATTTTTCATAACCGTTTACTACTTTAAGGTCATATCGACCGACAGAGTAGCAATAAATTTAACGTTGATGATAAGACTAGTTTCATTCTATTAAACCATTTTGTAAGGAATGTTTGCGTTCGTATTAACGCTTTTTTTGTTACGAATCAATAAATTATGGAGGATTATGGCACGGCAACCGAGCTACATGACGTCAAATATAGGTTGATCTTAACCAGAAAAACTAAATAATAACACACAAATATAGGTGGTGTAAACGAGGAAACTACAACAATATCGATTAAATAAACGTATCACAAATAATAAAGTAAAAGAGCGAAAGAGGGAGTGAAACAGCCACTGAATGAACACTAAGTCATTTCGGGACTAACATGGTTCAATTATATTTCAGTCAGTCGCTTGCGTGTAGGAATCTTTAGTTGAGGGAATGACCCGAATAAAACCCCACATGTTGGACATGCCATATTAATCCGTGTCACGTTCAAGCGGCAAATCGAAGCCACTTGAATCAATGACAGACATTAAACAATTTGGCCACCCAAACCATATTTCTATGACCCAAACCAATACTACATAACAATTGATGTGTGATAACTTATTTGGCCACTATTTGACCATTTACATACATCAACCGGGCTGATTGTATCTCAACTCATAGCTAGAAACACGTGTAACATTGGCCACCCAACCCCCCCGCAGAAATAATGCGTGATAGATAGTTAAATACAATTATAATTTATAATGTAACAATTTCCCCTATAACAACTACTTGAAGTAATCACTGGCAACCACAATAATTTGATTGCACTCGTTCTAAATGTGCTTGACTGTCAAAGGAACTCGACATTGTTCACATTCTTCTATACCAGGGATTAGTGGGGTTAATCCTCCATCGTGGGTGATATCTCGGACAAATGTTTACATAAAAACTTTACAGAAGAACCTGTCATGGTTTAGAGGCAACTCCAGCGTAGGGTAGGAATTTGCTGGCCCCAATACTATGGCGGGATTTAAGGGCCAAAACTAAATGTATGTTGAAAGTGTTATTATACATCATAGAAAATACCTAATACTTAAGAAGCAAAATACATGTCGTTATACTTATAATGAGGAATACATAATACCGTTAAAGTAAAAGTCAAATGTCAAATTACAAATGTTTTTTGGAAAAAATCCACTAATGTTACAAACAACACAACCTTTTCACATATACACTTCAACAAAGCAACTTTGCAAAATGACTTTTGTCTTTTAACGCATCTTGAGTTCTTGAGGTCAAAGGTCATCGGGTTACATGTAAAATTGTTAAAATGAATGCTCCCAAGTAGGAAAGACAACCCACAATGACATTGGGAAAGTAAATGGACACAGATCACCAAATATTCCTACGCCGTGACCCACGAAACAAGGGCCAAAGCTATTTTTAGTCTTCCTCTCCCTTTTCCCCCCTTTTGCATGGCGATTTTTGTTGACTTTTTGGTGTAGAATCGAGGAAAAGGGTTTAAAATACATTTTCTGCCAGGTTTTGGTGAATATTCATAATTTTGATGCGGAAGGATACAAGAGTTGAGAGGTTGGTTAGGTTGAAATGTAGGGCCTGAAATTGCATGTTTACTTGTCTCTACTTCCAGCTTGTGTATCTCAAGTTTTTCATGAAGAACCTCATACGTGCTTTTGGGCAAGTGGTCGCCACATGTTCCTCCATCTGTGGTAGAAAGCGTTCTACCCAACGAAAATTTGGGAAAAAGTTAGAGCCGGTCTAAGATACGAGAATTAACATTGGAGTCAATGGGGAAATCTTTAGTGATCTGTGGCCTGTCTGTGTGTGATAAGGCTGTCACTGATATGCCTTAGTTTTGAAAATATGAAGATTAAATTCTCAGAAAATATGAATAAAATAGTTTGGCTACAGAAAAACTAAAAAAAAGTTAATTAAAAAAAAAAAAATCAAAGTTTTGAAGAAAAATTGTGATTTTACTGCAAATTTCTCAAGTTTCAATTTTTATTGAATTTTTAACAGTAAGTAAAATATTCTAATGCCCAATGTTGGCTTATTCAGTCTCAGAAAGCACAGATAAAGTGAACAGTATTGAAATTTCACCAAATTTTGTCTAAAAATCAGGAATATTCACAAAAAATCTTGAGATTCCCCCCATTTCGATGTAGAAATTAATATTTTCATGACTATTAAAATGAGTCAAAATGTCTAAAAATGCCCATATTTTCTTTGCTAATATAACTTAGATGGGATCTACATGTTTGTCAGGTTTAGAAATAGCTCCAGTTTTTCTACAGAAAATTGAAAATTGGTAACACTGAGTTAATAATGTACACCAGATGGGTTTGTACAAAATGTTCAAAACAGGGGTTGGCTCAATTTTGCCACTATTTTACCCAGAATAAGCATTTTTTTCTTCTTTGAAACATTAAATTCTTGCATTTCCTTCATGTAGGAAGCAATATCCCAGCCTTTCTAGACATTTTTTACTCCATCATTCTGTTTAGAGAGGCAATAAATGCCCCACCCCACCCTTTTCCATTAATGTGTTTTGAGGGATTTAAATGCACCTGTGTTGACATTTAAATGATCTTAATTGGAATTTGTGGTTGAATTACAGCTAAGAATGTTATTTTTCCCCCAAAAATATTTTTTTGTGCATTTCAAGGATTTCTAACCCTTATTTGTTCAGAGTCAAACGTAGAACCCTGAGGCATTTCAGGCCAATGAGACCACACCCAGATATAAAACTGGTGTAGATGTGTAAATGTCAGTTTAATGTTCAATATTTTCTTATCAAAATCCAGCATTTGTGGTGTTTGCTGCATTTATGTTGCCTATAGAACAATAAAATATTAATTTTTCTCCTTTTCAGGCCTCTTTTTATGTTGTCAATTCTGTCATGACTACTTTTTTGACTTCATTTTTTCAGGAAATTAATGTAAAGTTCCAGACATCTTGCTTCAGCACAAGGATTGCAATACAAATTTGTAACATGCCTCTGAGGTTTGAGATGTTGGAAACATTGAAATATTCCCAAATTTGTGAAAATTGTGTATTCTGTGACCCTTCTGTTAGAGAGGGGTGATCATAGACCAAATATGGCATTTTTTTCATTCATCAAGGCCTATTTTTAACCATAATTCATATTTATTGCACCTATTTGAGTTTATATGTGCATATGTTAGCCAGGGATGGTAAATCATAGCTGTTAGACAGATTCCTTTGGTAATGTTAGTGCTGCAACCATAGATTAGATTAATCCAATCAGTGGCATGTTCAGGGGGTAGGCACACATGTTTCAGTATAGATCTCCAATATTACAATCATTGCAACTGGTTTGCATTTTTTCTGTTTGCATATTGTCCACAGATTCTAAAAATATATTTCTTGTCCGTCCGGATATTTAAAAAAGTGGAAAATTATTGGTATTTTGAGAGATGCTACATGTAAATTTTGTACATTTTTCATCACATGGCAGTAAAAAATTATATTTTTGAAAAAAATTCCAAATTATGAGTGTTTTCTATGTAGTTTCTTTGTAACTTGTCTAATTTTTTCACAGAACTCAGATACTGCCTTTAATAAGAAAGATTTTTAAATTTTAGCACAAAAGGCCTATGGACCTGAGATGCACCAGTGTACATAAAGCAGCATGTGTACTTAAAGGGCCATCATTTTTACAGTTATTTTTTTATTTTGATTTTCTTTCACCGGCATGTTGCCAGAACACATGGGAAGGAAATAAAAAGGGCCTTTTGGTGATACCTGAAGTTTCACCCCTATATTGGACACAGATCACCAAATATTCCTACGCCGTGACCCACGAAACAAGGGCCAAAGCTATTTTTAGTCTTCCTCTCCCTTTTCCTTTTTCCCCCTTTTGCATGGCGATTTTTGTTGACTTTTTGGTGTAGAATCGAGGAAAAGGGTTTGAAAATACATTTTCTGCCAGGTTTTGGTGAATATTCATAATTTTGATGCGGAAGGATACAAGAGTTGAGAGGTTGGTTAGGTTGAAATGTAGGGCCTGAAATTGCATGTTTTCTTGTCTCTACTTCCAGCTTGTGTATCTCAAGTTTTTCATGAAGAACCTCATACGTGCTTTTGGGCAAGTGGTTGCCACATGTTCCTCCATCTGTGGTAGAAAGCGTTCTACCCAACGAAAATTTGGGAAAAAGTTAGAGCCGGTCTAAGATACGAGAATTAACATTGGAGTCAATGGGGAAATCTTTAGTGATCTGTGGCCAAATGAGGAAATTTTATTAGATTTTCACAGTAAAATTACAAATGTATGTCATAAATTCTAATGTCGGCGTTCAATTTACGACATTAAAGTTCATAGACTGGACGTTCTTTTTGTATCTGGAGACTTGTCAGTCATGATGTTGATATTAGATAGGCTAACTATACAGAGCAAGTCTGTATAATCTAAACAAGGTGCCATCCATTATTAAGATTACCGTTAATCATTCTTACAAACGAAGTTTCTGGGACATTATATACCCCTATATTTCAATTCGGTTTTAACTGTAGACTATTAATACACGTAGCCTATATAGTCATATTAATTATAAACTTCATACAAAATAGGCCTACATCTAGATTGAACATATTTAGAATAAATTTAATTTAATGTAAATGTACTTTTTGATAAATACCGAATTGTGTCATGTGTGACTTGGACTGACACAAGTTTAAATTAAATGTAGGCTATATAAAATTATTTTAACATTAAACATGGATCTTTCCATCAGAACGGAGGGTCTGGCAAGGACAACTGTTTAGTCGTTTGGATG